ACTGGCGCAACAGGGAGGACACACAACTAAACCCATGCAACATGGGGACCTGATGACTGGTGATTCTTATTGCTTCTCTCACAACTTGATGCCCAGCTGTGTCATTTAACCATTTCATATCTTCAGTCCCTAAAAAGCTCTTAGGGCCCCTTAAACAACAGCCTACGTTGTCATACAGTCTATGAATAACCCCAACACACCTTATACAACATTCACACAGACTTTTCTGGAGCTGCTTCTGAGATAATAAGATTAGCATGCATTTTTTTTTTTTGTTCTTTGAGTTCTCTTCCATTGCAAGAACAGAGATGTTGGGCTGAAATCAGTTGCCAGTTATGCCTGATATGGATGACGGAAATCTACCTGTTTTTCAGACTATCCTTCATCGCTGTATTTGGCTCAGTCCCGGTATACTTGCCCAAATAAATGCTTACTTTTGAAGTACAGGATATAACCGTTATTGAACCTACTGATTTTATTACCTATTGTAATTAAATTAATGACTACTGAAATTTCTAAGCATGCCTTATCCCTTTCCTCCATCAACAAATAGGCCTTGTTTGACTAAACATAGATTCTGCAAGGACAGTGGTATGAGTCCCCCGACTCCAAATATTTTTGCTTCATGAATGCAGTTTTTGTTTTCTGGATTCTGGAATCTGCAACAGCACTGAAGATCTCATTCAACTGCAGCAATGAAATAAGGTAAGGCTCTCTTAAAGAACAGTGCTCATCAGTAATTCTGATGTTTGGTAGCAGCTTCACTAGGACACACACCCATGCCTGCTTTCTGAAACTGCTATGTCAAGGATGGAAGGATGTTCTATAGGAATCTGACACGTAGCTAGGTAAGCAAATTTTTTCTTGTATTGGGAGGTATTTCTCACAGGCAAACTTCACTGCAGGTCTGATGTGTTTGACGACATGGACAGTTTAGTAGCTAGGCTGAATTCTTGATGTGGATTCTAAGTTCTCAGCATCTCCAGGGTATCAGTTGTTTTTCTATTACTTGCTCAATAAGACAATGATCCCCTTGAGGAAAGTCCCTTTAAATGGGGAAATATTAGGCTTTAAGGTTTTACTCAAACTGCCTAATCAGCATTCATGCAACTGAAATGTTACTTAAAAGATTACTTAAAAGAAGACCTAAAGTTGTGCAGTTGGTTGTGTGCACTCGTGTGTATTCATATATATGCATACACACACACATACTGTAGAATCTGTTTTCTAAGATTATTATAACAATGCCCTTTGTTGCTATTAGAGCTGCAGGATAGGTGTCCATACAGGAAAACATATTTCCATTTACTTGCTTCTAAATATCTGTACACTTACTCCTTCAGTTCTGAATGACCTGTGCTCGTTACAGGATATGAGATTTTGAAAAAGATGTTCATCCCTTATTTTATATTCTCCCCCATTCCTAGCAATGTTTTCTGCGATTCAAGTCACTGCAGAGCCAGCTGTGTTTGTGCCGTGCCACTAAGGGATTTCATCATGGTGAAAAAATATCCATTGGCCCAGGTAGGGCAGCCTCTTTGCCAGGGGCACCAAAGGACTTTTAAAAGGCAAGTTATGGCTTGCCAAGTTTAAAGGTACAGCAAAAAATGTAAACTAGTCACCCACATGTGAATATAAAGGAAAAACAGAACAAGACTTTGTACAATCCCCAGCACATGGAAAAGAGCTCTGATACAATTCTGATTGTAGGAAAAAAGCACCAAAACCCTATTCTTCTGGCTCTCTCAATATGGGTTTGTATAAATAGAAGAAAAATTCCTGAGGAAGTGGTTTGTAAGTGTACAGTCTTGGACCAACCTTGAGACACTCATATGTTTCAAGGTTGAAAAGTGAACACAAAAAAATTCAGAGGAGAGCTTACTCCCAGCAGAGAAGTTCTGTTATTTTGTTAAACCAGTGTACATATAGATTACAAAATTACATATTTGTAACACACTGTAAAATTTTATCACAGTATGAAATTATGGCACTTATTGCAAGGAACACTCTTCAGGACATATGTAGACCAGGGTATACTGTCCCCATGTAGCTTATTTTGCCTCTGTCAAGAATGAGATATACGAAGACAGACATGTAATAGATACGCTTACTACATTCACAGTAACATATATGTACATCCCTGTAGTAGAATGGAATCTATAAGAAAGCTGTGGGCCTTCACAACTCTGTTGTACTTTGCTTACAGACAACAATGGGTTTTTTTTCAGAAGACTTTGAAGCAATTTGCAAAGTCTCTCAACAATTCCAGACTAACTCTTCTTGAATCCATGTCACAGATAAACCATTCTAATCCATACCATAAGTAAGAAGTTCAATATCATCTTCCAAGACTATTAGTTAGGGAACTCAAGTATACGGATTTTCCTGCCTTTTTGTCCCTAATTACATAAAGACTCTCAAAACTAGTTCCCCCACCTTAAAATCTTGTCAATTACATTCCCTTCAGACTAAAACAGTTTTGCTAATTTTATGCTTTGTTCTCAGAATTTGCTTAAAATAACTCTTTTATTCCATAGTAATAGGCAAACTGAAAGAAACTAAGAATGCAGAATGTAACTAAGGAGACTGAGTTACTCCTACTTCTTGCTCTGCCTGGCCTTGCTGAGCATTTCTATTCAGTATACTTTCACTTAATTTGTTTAATGAACGATCTTAATACTCTGCTATCTGCGTCCTTCCTCAGAAAGTGGCAGCCATGATTTTCTTTCAGTTGTTAAAGAACTGGTAAATAACAGCAGGTTGCAACAGTTCTGAATCAGTTTTTTTAAACTAAAATACTAAAAAGAGAATTCCTTGTCCTCTGAATAGACTTGGGACTGAAACATTGATGAAATTGAAACATTGCAAAGCTTCATTTAATTTTGGTGGAAAGACAAGAGAAACAAGGGCTCTGGATTGCTTTTGGGACCAAATGGAGTGAGAACTTCAAAAAAGATCAAAATCATGTGAACATCTCTATGAATCTCTGCAGTTTTAACAGAATGCATGCTATAGCAATCAAATGATACCAAGGGAGACAAAATATTCTCGAATGGGAAATAGTGCTGGTGCAATTCTGGAATATGAGGTGGTCCTCTGAGTTATTATTTTGGGTAAGTCAATTAGAAACACCCACCTGAGAAGTCACAAATAGGGAAGTAGGAAAAACATAATTATTACTTCTGTAGTATTTTTATACCATCTGAGTAGCTATGCAATTTTGACAAGTGCTGATTTTTCACCCTTTCCTTAGAAAACCTAATTTATACCTGTTTGGTGACAGTTACTCTTTCAGAGTCTATGAGCATCTTGAATTCCCATAAGAATGATGCAGTACATTTACTCAGATAACAATGGCATGGTTCCTTGTCATAAGGCATTAGTGGACTCAAAATTCAACTGTACCCTCCAGCTCTGTATTTCTAATTGCCTTATTATGAAAGATACAGCCATATGTCTGACAGAAAGTGTAGCTGGGATTCCTGAAGCAGTTCATTAACATAACCTGTCTAGTCCGCACATTCAGTTGAAGGTTATTGCCTCTGAACAGGAGGAGGTGTCTGAATAGGACACATGTGGCTACTGGAGCCACTGAGTTTCACCAAGTGGCATCCGGCATATGTGAGACAAAGTTCTGCAGATCTGACAACCATGACAGAAGTAAGAAGACCAGTATGTAGGAAACATTCCAGGACTTCTGCTCCCTGGGAGTATCCCCCTTCTCTTACACAGTGCAAGACCTTTGCAGATGAGGGAACTAACATGGTGGGTTTGGTTGTCAAGATTCAGGAGTCTGTATTTCACAGATATTTTCAAGTCTCTCAACAGCCTTCATTTTTACCCACTGATGGCAGTCATACACAAGTAAGAGTGAAAGCAGGGTCTAGAGGCTGAAAGATAGGAAGCAACTTCTGATGTGTGTGCAATTATTGGCTCTGTTTAAGCAGATGCCCTATTAATCAGAAGTTGGTAAAAGTATAAAACTGCGTGCGGCATAAGGGCTTCCCATTTGGAAATTTAATACAGCATGCCCTCTATAAAGGGGTTAATATCAGCTGATTGAGAAAAAGGTGCAAGAAATTTTGCAACTTAGAACTATGGAGCAACTTGCTTACAGGAGAGGTTTTCTTTAGATCCAAGCCACGCTTCAGGAGAAAAAAACTTATATTTTTCCTTCAGCTGACCAAGTCCTAGCATATGTGGAAGCCTCAGGTTTGAGAAGTTTCATGATTTTGTAAAATTGCATGAGTTACATTTCCCATCTATTTCAGGTATTTTAATTTGCTTTGGCTCTACTAGCTACTTCAAAGCAGACTAACAAAAAAAATAAGGATTTGGTTTTAATTATGTATATTAGATCTTCAGGTGTTAGCAAATATTTTCAGCAAAATTCTTAGTTACAAACAATATTTTTGTAATATACAGAAACAGATAAACTCATACATTGAATAAGTCCACTTATTTCTGGTGATTTGCACAATTTTCCACTGAATACTACAATCTAGGAGAGTTTCTATAAGTATCTGTATGCACATACAAAATAATGAAGATTCAAAATGAAAAAGAAATTTCATAAATAAAGATAATGCATATACAGTACCATGCAGCACAGGATTATATGAAGACATCAGAATTAAACACTGTTGCACACAGTAACATGTGAGTCTTCCGAAAGATTTTAAAATGCCCCAAACTTATTTCACCAGTGAGATTTATAAAACAAAACAAAAAAACCCCATCCACCCCACCTGAAACAACCCTCCACCCTGTAAACAACCATTTCTAATCTTCATAATCCCTCTTCATACCAGTTATATAACTACTTATCAACCAAATCTTTCACTGGAGAATAAGATATAATTAAGTCACTGGGTCAGAAGCAGGAACTACTGTAACAATTGTATTTTTACAAAAGAATAGGTGTGGTGAAAAATTAGTTATGTGTATATGTGGTTATATTCAGCATGTATAAACACATTTGGCTGGTCCAGTTTCCTTACCTGAATTCCACGTATTTCAAGTGGTGGCAGAGCACAGACCTGTGGACAGAAACTTCCTTTAGCTCACATAAAATAGAGAATGCGTAAAAATAAGAACTGAAAAAAAAAATTAGATTCCCAGGAAGGGGTAAGAGCTGAATGTGTACTTTATTAAAAAAAAACCACATTTAGGTACTGTAATTGTCCCACTACTAAAAGCATGTAAGAGAATTGTAGGGAAGAAAAGTAGTATTTGTGTGATAAGGCATGTGCATGGAGAAATAGGCATGTATTAGTTTATTATGATATAGTCAATTCACACAACAATTCTTCTAGTTCAGTAACAAAATCTCAATGCCACTACTCTCTCAAAGCAACAAAATGTGATTTACTATTTGTTATGAACCTTAGAAGATTATTGTTCATTACACAGATTTCTTCTGTATGATCCAGTGTTAGCTGAAAATTTTCCACAAAATCTTGTAAGACTTAGGAATTTTCCCTAGCAAAACAAGGCTTTTTCTTTCTTTTTTTTTTTTTTTTTTTTAAATCCTGTATCATACTTTTTTTCCCCCACTGGTATAGTAAGTGGTCATTCTTTTTCACACAAATCGTGGTATATCCCCAAAAGGGCATTTTAATCTCTGTTCTGCATAAAAGCAATCTCTAACTAAAAAAAAAAAAAAAAAAAAAAAAAAATCATTATGCAACTTCCCTTCTACAAATCTCCCTGAGAGTTTTTGATTTAAATATTGCAGTAGAGTGTGTAATTGCTTTAGAAATCTCTAGAAAACTTTGCAAGTATCTAATAAACTCATGGTGTTTCTTAAGCACTTACATTTAACAAGTATTTTGCAGATAGCAATGCTAGATGAATCTCTAGCCCAAATCTAAAGAACATCCCTAACCTGCATACACGTGGTTCCACAGATTTTAATGGGCTAATTCCTCTCCACAATGCACATGCATGCATATTTCTTTCAGGGGTGGAAATTATTTCCTCTTGGTTACTGAACAGAATATAAGCAATTTGGGACTATAATTCAAGAATCCTTTATTCTAATTTCAGTAAGTTTATTTTTTTGTTGTTTGTGAATTGCAGTATGAAGAATTAAAGCTTTAGCGCAGCATATAAGTTATTTAAAAACAAACACTTGATTATTCTAAAACAATGACTTAACCACACCAGGATCTAATTATTCATAACAGACAACCTGAATAATAGTCAACCCACTTTCGTACAGTTTAATTGGCAAACCAATTCTTTCTCTTACTAATTACAGGTAACCACGCCTACCTTCCCAGAAAGCATGATGGCAAGTAACAATTTGTTTTAAATTCTGGAAAAGCAAACAAGTACTAGGGGGAGAATTTGCAGAAAAAGTGCTGGTCTCTAACCTTTTTTTGTTTTTTAATTTTTCTTTAATATTACAGCATGTTATTTCTGCATAGGTTTTTAGTTCAAGCTTTGCTATAATGCTGTGTGTTTACTTTTTCTTGTAAACCTAGTAGCAGAGTAATCTCACCCTTTAAAGTATAAGAAATAGGGGGAAAATCTCCCAGACTTAGACTTATTGGTAGGAGAAGAAGTGATGCAATAGTGTACGCATACTTACTTTCCGTTATTAAGTAGTAATGTTTTAGTATGTGTGTGTTGGTGTGAAATGATTCCATCTTGGTAACATCTGTCCTGCCTGGTTTATGTGAGGCCCAGTCTGTAAAACAGAAATTACATTTTTTTTACGTTCTCTTATTTTCTCTTTGACTTGCTCTTTTCTCCAATGCCTTCCAGAGCAGTGGTGGATGCCAATTCTGTGAGAAGAAAAGGCAGCTCTGGAAACTCTGGCTGTGCAAGTACCCTGATAAGTGACACTGAAAGTTTGTAAGCCTACTGAATCACTTGTTATCAAGTTCCTGAGGGAAATATGGTAATACGGAGGTATTTACTGCTTGCTAGATTTCTTGTGAGCAGTGTTTGAAGACCTCTGTCCGTCATTCCCACCCTTCCTTGCCCTCAGCGCTTCAGGGCGCTTACATTCAACACGGCCTTACTCCGGTGAAGGGGTACCTGCTCCTCCTCCAGGCGCTGCTCGTTCTGGGAGACTCTGTAGTTAAACAACGCCGTTTGTGGGGTTACTGTTTGCGGGTCATTTTTTTTTTTTTTTTTCTCTTTCTCTTGTTTCACGTTAGGCCTTCAAATACTCGTTTGCGGCCTGGCCGCGGCGGGGGCAGAAGCGAAACCCGCCCGCCCGCGGCCTTTGTTCGCGCTGAGGGAGGAAGCGCCCGCGCGCGGGGCCGCCCCACAGCACAGTGGGCGGGAGACGGGCGACTTCCGCGCGTCCCCGCCGCCCGCGGGGGCTGTATGGGAGGTCGGAGGGAGCCGGGGGGGAACCGCACACCGTGGCCCCCGGGGTGTGTGGGGGTGTCCGTATCCCGTTTCCCCCCCGCCCCCCGTCGAGGCGGCGAGGCCTCCGGCGCGGCCAGGCCTGCGCAGGGCGGTGCCGGGGGCGGGGCGGGGAGCGGAGCCGAGCCGGGGTTTCCCGGCCGGGCAGCACGGGCGGGGCGGAGAGGGAGGAGGAGGAGGGTGGAGGCGGCGGTGGTGGCGGGGAGGAAGGAGAAGGTTGAACCGCGCCCAAGCTCTGGCTTCCCGATGGCTGTGGGGAGCTGAGCGGGCACCCGACGCGTGAGGAGGAGTCAAGACCCAGCGACACCTCCCTCGTTCCTCCGCTCTCTTTTTCCTTCCGATTCGGCTCCCCGGCGTCCCCGGGACCAGCCGGGCAGAGGCGCGGGCGGCTCCCCTCCTCCTCCGCGTCCTCCTCCTTCTCCGCCCCCCTCCCCAGGCCGGCGGGACGCGGGCAGGAGCCGCGGGCGACGGACGCGCCGGCCCGGTTAATGAGCAGCGGCCGGAAGGGCAGGTAACCGTCTGAGGGGAGAGAGGGCGGGCGGGGGGGTGTGTACGTGTGTGTGGGGGGAAATCTCACAAAAATCCTCATCGCTTTCCCGCCACCGCCTGGCTCGCCGAGCCCCCGTCCCGGCCCCACCCTGAGGCCATCTTCCCGCCGGCGGCGGCCCCGGCTCCCCCCTCAACCCCGGTTCCTTCTTCCTTTGCGCGGCTGCGCCCGTCCCCCGCTCCCCCTCCCCCGCTCTTCCTCCTCCTCGCTGCCGCACTTCTCCTTTTCCCTTCGTCCTCCCCTTCCGCCGCTCCCTCAGTTCACCGGGTTGGGCTCCCCGCCACCCCCCCGCTCCCCGGCTCCCGCCGCGCCGGTGCCCTCCTCCTCCTCGCCCACCCGTTCTTCACGGCCCCCGCAGGAGAGAAAGGGCGGCTCATGGTTTGTCCACCTCTTAGTATGGCGGGGTTGGAAATAGCCCCCCTCCCCCGCGCATCCCCACCTCCTCGGTGCTCGAGCTTCCCCTAAAAAAGAAGTGTGTTTGTAGCTGGAGGAAGAGGAGGAGGAGAAAAATGTGGGGGTGGGACTGATCCTCTCTTGAAGGCTTTAAGGCGAAAAGGGAGGAGACCTTGGATCTTGCGGGGTTCCATTTTTAATTATAATTACGCTGTAGTGGTCTCTGTTAGACGGTTTGAGGTGTTTTCGTGTACGCGTTAAGATACAAAAGGCGAGTTTCCCGAGCGATCCAGCCGGCAGAGGGAATATTTGGAGAGAGATTCAAGGAAAAAGCAATGGTGTGTCTGCTGTAATGGTGGAAAACTGATTAAGAGGAGACGGGGGTGAGACAAACAGGGTAAGACTGCTTCCAGCAGCCCCCAATCCAGCAAAGGGCTCGCAGATTGGGTTCATGCTGTGTATTCTGGGGGAGGGAGGGGTAGAGAAGGTTTTGTTCTCTTTAAAATCAGAACCGAGGATGGATTTAGACCGCATATTTCTTGTTCCCTCATGTATTACGGTGCTGCATATTTTTGTGTGTCCGTAGCAGCAATAACGAAGATCATGGAGGGTGTTTGCTACAATAGAAAAATGGAGTTTTCTTCTTGGAGTTGCTGTTAAAAATATTATTGCCATTCCCAGTTTATTATTGAAAGGATTTCAGTATTTTATTATTTTTTTTTTTATCCATACAAGGGATATTTAAGGTATCGGTTTTTTATTTCTACAGCTTTGTGGGAAATTAAGAAGTGTAAAGTCTTGTATGTAAATATGAAAGAGGCGAGGCGCTTTATTAAAAAAAAACAAAACAAAACAAACCCTTGTCCAGAAGAAAATCAGGATGATATAGAGGTTGTTGTAATATGTCAATTTATCATTCCTGAAGATCAACTGAAATTTTAACGAATGTAATATTTCATTTTTCTCTACCGAAATCATGGCTGGAACTCGTTATTTTCAATAAGGCATCCTTTCTAGGATGCCGACTGCCACGTTATTATGTATTGTCTCCACGGTAGAAAATAGGAGGAAAGGACTGTAAATGTAAGGCTTAAGTGGTTATTGAAACAGCTTTTGAGAATAGTTGACTCAACTTGGGAGAGGTGATTTAAGACTGAAAAATTAAACATTTTGCTGCTGTAAAATATCCTCATCACATCGTGAGAGATTTATCCCATATTTTAAGCTGATCTGCTAAATACAAGGATGTGAATCAAGACAAAGTGCTGTCGGTGTGTATGTGAAATATATGTGAGAAAACAAAAATATTAAGATCTAGATTTGTTCTAAATGTAATATATCTGAGTTTATTTTTTTTCCTTGTGTGCTTCAGGAGAGGAGAAAGCGAAGGGGTGATAATAGTGTAGTTGTTTTAGTGGCTGTAGATTAGCCAGGGTGTGTGTTTGATTTTCTTTTTGCTGTGAATGAATGGATCTCTCTGTGCCTGGGCCCAATAGCTGCAACAAGATGGCGTTTGCAGCAAGGCAGCTCTCATTTTTCAACTCCTCCTCACCACAGCTTTGCCAAACTAGATCTTATTTCGTAATTGTGTTTTAGATTTACTTTCTCATTCTCTTTGCTTTCTTCTTGTTTGGGGTGGGAGTAGGAGGAGCATTCAAAAGATTGTTGCAAGAAATCTGTGGGGTTTTTTCTTCATTTTTGTGAGCTTCTCCGGATAGGAACTAGGTGGGAGGAGTAAATAGTTTAATTGAAATATTCACATAGGTTCTTACTGGATAAAGGGGTGACATGATTTTCTTTTTTACCTTGCAGTGCCTGCTTAATACCACCAAAATGTTCTTGGCTTTTATTAAGCCTGTTGCTGAAAAACAGTATTTTAAACCTAGAGCACAGGTATACAAAGACTTTGCTGGGGCTGTGTACTGTTGCTGGTTCTCTACTAGCCAGGTAATCATCAGACCCTGTGGAGACAGTTATCTCTCTACAATACAGAAGTCTCCCATCTGCTTCAGAATGCTAACAATTTGTGGAGGCTTTTAAACTGCTTTTGACCCAAATTGTTGTCATATTCTAGGTAACTGTTCTTTTTATGGGAAAGAATAAGAAAGGTTTGGGGGATATTAAAATGGTTCTGTGTCTGCTAAGTACTGTATCTTAAAATAGGACATTACAAATTCTAAAGCCTTTTAGTATCTTGGACTTTCAGTTTGTAACTTTTATGATATTTCACGATAGTGCCAAGCTTCTTAACCTTGGTAGCTTAAATAAAATAGCTTGGTTAATAATTGATATACTGGACTCAGGCTTAAAATAATACACTTCCCAGCAAGAAAAATAAGAAATGCTTGTTATGTCTTATGTATTCAAATGACCTCCAAACATTTGGTAATTATCAACCTTTTTAGTAGTGTTTATCTATGACTTAATGTATAATCAGTTGTTTGTTAGTTTATTGTAATAGCCCAGCTGTAGTTCATACAGAAGGAAGCTAGGAAGCAGAAGAGCTAATTTGCAGTTAAGGCTTCTGTTTGTGGTTTCCCCCACTCCCAAAAAAAGCTGAAATTAGCTAAATACATTTTACGCCTCTAGTATGTCAAGAACAAATTTTTTAAAATCAAGAATACTTGTTCCGTAAACTAGTAGTTCCATTTGATGGTACTTTTAATGTGCTGTTGAACTTGAAACTATTTATGCAGGTTTTTTTGGTACTACTACTTTGGCCTTTCAGTACAGGATCAGAAAGGAGTGGGGTGATGTGGGTTTCTGTATTGGGTAAGATAAATTGCATTTATCCTTGTTGAGTCCTTGCAGCTGCTAAATCAGTATGTAGCAAGCATCCTACCATGAAATCTTCAGCAACATATGAAGTTAGGATTCCACAGTAAATCTTAGCAAAAGAGTTTTTAAATCACTTCCATACCTCATGGCAATCTGAAAATGTTGTGTTTAGATTTAATGACAATTCTTGCTGTGTAAGTAACCAATACAGCTATATAATTAGGAAATGTGTAGTATTTTGTGTAACATTTTTCTTTATATCCAAGAATAAATACAGCTATTAAAAACTGTAGAACAAGAACCATTAAACTAATAGAATAAGAGAATCCTTCAATTAATGCAATTACCTTCAGGATCTTTTAATTATAGTAGAAATATGTATCTTTGTAGGATGCCTTTTTCTGAAATTGAGCAAGATGTTGCTGGCTGAAGTGGGTAATAACTTCCTAGTGCTTTGCAGGCGTCAATTTGGTCATGTGGAAAACAGCTATAACTGTTTCTTCTTAAATAGTTACTTAGTTAAGATTTCTCAATCAGTGTGAAACAAGGTGCCAGTTCATATGAAACTTGTGTTGCTCTTGTAGATTCTTATGATGCCTGTTGCTGTAGTTAGGAATGTTAAAGAAGTGTTACATTTAGCTAGTTTTGTAGTTGTTGCAATAAAAAAAAAATGGAGTTGCTTGCTTTCTGTGAAACCATCAATAGATTTGTCTCCTGTATGTTGGGCTCAGCTCATGTTTTAGTCGCTGAATTGGATTAAATTCTTACTGTCCATGGATTTTGGCTCTCAGCGTTAGTGGATTGGTAATTGATATTCTCAATTTTAATATCCAGTTTTAGCCATATGGCATACCGTATTGTTTCAATAATTGCATTTAGTGATAGTTTGTTACTAGGAGGTTGAAATGAGAAAGCATGCATTCGAGTGGTTGGATTATGCTTAGGTGGGTCACCTTTAGAGTTTCTAATGCCTATGTTCATGCTAGCATTTTTGTTTTATACAGTATTTTCCTGGTTATGTTGGGAGAAAATGTATAACCTTGAAAGCAACTAGCTTGTGTTAATGAAATGTTTCTTAAGCATGTGATTGAAGATAAAGTGGAAATTTTTTTAAGGGGGTTGCTTGATTGTTCAAAGTACAGACTAAAAAGAATACGTATGCCATTCAAAATGTTTTTTTTTTTTCTCCCCACTGATAATGTTGAAACTAGTGTTAGTCTAGGTCATGATAAAAAACAAAAATACCCCCAAGCCCCTATGTTTCTATTTAACATAGTATCTCAATTTATTATTTCTTCACAGGGTGTCTAGTATGCTGGGGATTTTGTGTGCATGGATTTGTTTTTCACCAAAGAGAAATATATGCAGAATCCATAGATACTTGAGCCAACTGGTAGTTCAGCAGAACATTAAGAGGTTTTTAAAAGCTTTGAGCTGGCTATGAACAGTACCTTTACTTTAGGTGCCAAAATAATCAATGTAAATTACTGTGGAAGGCTTCCTAGTACAAAAATATGGACACTCCAAAATAAGTTTTGAAGCAGAATACTGCATTTTTATTAAACCACTAGAAGACCTCTAGGTAGAGAGAGCGGAGATGGTTAGCCGTTAAATAAAAATACGCATTTAAAAGTAGTTTTGGGAGGATAAAGACCAGAAGTTCTTGGCCTGTTTTTAACAGCTGACCTTCTAAAATGTGTTTTTGACAATTAATATATTGAGTTGTATTAAAAGCTTGTGTCCATTGCATTTATTAAAGTGGTATAGAATGTGCTATGATTTGTTAGTCTCTT